CTATTCAGAGATAGTGAAGAAAACAAATTAAGTGAGATAGTAGTGACTAGTAACGATGTTAGTAAGCAAATAGACAAACTAAAGCCTAATAAGTCACCTGGTCCCGATGAGATATTTGCCAGAGTATTAAAGGAATGTAAGGAAGAGCTTAGTATGCCCTTAGCCATTGCCAATATGTTAATAAGAAATAGCCCAAGTTTGAATATAAATGGAAGTGTTTATTGTATTCCATGTAGCAAATGAAATTGTAATTATGTAGGACAGACAGGAAAAACACTGCAGCTCAGAATCAAACAACATAAGTATAATATCAGAACAGCATCTGAAAGCAGTGCCTTGTTCGTCCATGTTAGGAATAATAATCACCCCATTGCTTGGGAAAAAAGCTTACAAGTATTTAAATCATCTTGTGTCACAGAAAGACTTCTGGTTGAAGCTAGTTTGATTAAGGAATTGAAATCAATAAACCTTAGTGAGGTCAGTTCAAAACTGATAATATGTTACATAAATTTTAAGGTATATAGAAAGCCCACACAGGTAGACAGTTTCATTCACCTTTTATCGAATCACCTTGAGTCTACCAAAATGTCAGTTTTTTCTGCCATGTTCTTAAGATGTCTGCGTATTTGTGACTCTGAATTTATTGACGAGGAATTGAAACGCTTTCGTTCCATTGCACAGAAACTCCGGTACCCTTCTGTGTTTGTTGATCGTTGTTTTAAAAGGGCTAAAAAATCCTTCCATTCCTCTCAAACCAGACAAGTTCCTACACTTAAGAATATTTTGACTCTGCCCTATCGTAATGAATTTGTCCCGTTAGTTCGGTCCCTCAAGCTTCTATATATTAATGTTGTTTTCAAGTATGACTCAACCATTACCAATATGTTAATAAGGAATAGCCCAAGTTTGAATGTAAATGGAAGTGTTTATTGTATTCCATGTAGCAAATGAAATTGTAATTATGTAGGTCAGACAGGAAAAACACTGCAGCTCAGAATCAAACAACATAAGCATAATATCAGAACTGCATCTGAAAGCAGTGCCTTGTTCGTTCATGTTAGGAATAATAATCACCCCATTGCTTGGGAAAAAAGCTTAGAAGTATTTAAATCATCTTGTGTCACAGAAAGACTTCTGGTTGAAGGTAGTGTGATTAAGGAATTAAAATCAATAAACCTTGGTGATGGTCAGTTCAAAACTGATATTATGTTACATAAATTTATTTGTCAGTGGCCCAAGGTTAAAAATGCTTTGAAAACCTTTGATCTAGATGTTTGATAGTTATTTTGTGGGTCCCTTATTTTTGACCTGACCTGACAAGTCACGTCACCCCCCTTCTCTTAAGCTCCTCTATATGTGTGTTGGTGTGGGGATTAGTGGATGACATCTTTAAGACCTGACCTCATGTTTTTAAGGTCACCCAGTATATTTAAGCCTCTCTCTGTCCATTAGGGTGTGTCATAGGAGGGAAGATCAGCTAAAACTAATGGCCCATCACTTTTTTGGTAGATTTTAGTGTATATAAACAAAAAATAATTTCAGTTTCAATATTTTGCTAGGTAAATTTTAGCGTGAAATTGATCGAAAATCTAACGTACAGCTGCATTAGTGCATTACAATTAAATAGTGAACATTGCTTTCTGACTTCATTCTTTAACAACCCAACTAACAATATTTTTTTTCTGTTTCAGATTCTGATGCATTTATAAGTTGATAATATTTGCGATGGCTGCTTGTGTCAGGACGAGGAACCAAAAATCCAGCCATCTCAGTCACTATCTTGGGTCTGGGAGAGAGCTCCTGAAGTCGGAGTTGCCTACATTGAGAGATGCTTTGAGATACGGTGTTTTAATCAGGCAAATCAGTGAAAAGAACCAAAGAACTTACACAAACAAAGACATTGCCAGTGATATGACCAAAGCTGTCTTGGCACAGTACACTCTGGCTAACGCTCAGTTCAAGCCTCCAGTCATAACAAGTCAGAAGAAGATTAGTGAGAGACTGCTAGCCAGTTGGGAAAAGGCAAGAGATATCTCTCTTGGGAGAGGAAAACTTGCAGTTAAGGACAGCTTTGCCAAGCAACTGGACCAGTTATTTGACATAATTACTTGCAAGTGCCCAATTGTTCTCTGTCCTGAGTTTGGATGCGATCGTGACTGTAAATCCGAGGCCCACATCTCCTGTATTTGCAAGCGTGAACTGAAGATTCCTGTGATCGAACTGGCATTTGTCAAAGCACAGAGAGAGAAGACTGGCAGTATAGGGGCTCTCATGATTTCTAGCCAAGATATTCCGGAGTCCAAGAGACAGGAGGCTGCCACAGAGAGACAGAAGAGGAGAAGAGTTGCCGAGGAAAAGAGACTTGAGAAGGCCCAGGGTGAGGTAAAAAAGGCCGATGATTGGAGTCAAGCTGATTCAGAGTTTAATGACTTCCCCATGGCTGATCCGAGTGCTGACCAGGAGAATGGTGACTTTGTCCCTAACCCAGAAAATAATGATCCCAAACCTTCCAGGTATAAGATTCGAAATAGGAAAGATATCCCGAGCATAGCTCTGGCCAGCATGCGACACCACACTGGTCTCAGAGAAACTGCAGAGATAGCAACAGCTGCCTGGGTTGACTGTGGTTTGATAACACCTGATGATGTTCACCTGGTGATAGATCATAACAAAGTAAGGAGAGCTCAGGAGAAACTTGTCAGTAACCTAGAAGAGGAGTTTGATAAGGGGATAAGAGAAAATGGAATCAATTGTTTGTTCTTTGATGGGAGAAGGGATGACACTAAAGTGTTCATGAAAGTTGGAGATTCTGACAAGTTGTTCCCTGCCATGGTGAAGGAGGAACACTACTCCTGCTGCAGTGAACCAGGAGGGAAGTATTTGTGGCATTTCACTCCAGAGAAAGATGACATCAGGAAACCAGCTGAGATAGTGGCAGATAACATTGTGAACTGGCTCAGAGAGAGGAACGTAGACCAGACCCTGCAGGCCATTGGAGGGGACAGCACCAACACGAACACAGGGTGGCAAGGGGGGGGTCATACAGTGGATAGAGCGGAAGATTGGGAGGAAGCTGGTCTGGATTGTTTGTGACCTCCACATCAACGAGTTGCCACTCAGACATCTGATCCAGGAGCTGGATGGCAAGACTCTTTCAAACAACAGATGGTCTGGTCCTCTTGGCAAGATGCTGGACTCTGTCACTGAGTTAGAAATAAATCCGAGCTTTGAAAAAATCACAGTTGGCCCTCCACTCGTTGAGCTTGCACATACTGTCATTGACGACCTGAGTACTGACCAGTACTATGGTTACATGATTTGCAGTGCCATCAAAACTGGGGTCATGCCTGATAGACTTGCTTACCTGCAGATAGGTCCAGTCTCACATTCTAGGTGGCTCACAACGGCTCTCAGGTTCTTCAGAATTTGGGTCGCTCATCATAAACTGAAAGGGAACCAGCTTCACAACCTGAGACTTATTGTCCAATTCATCGTGAGTGTCTACTTGCCAAATTGGTTCAACACCAAGGTCAAGTCATCGTTCTCCGAAGGTCCGAGGCATGTTCTCTTCCAGCTTGAGCTCCTGAGGAGTCAGCCAAGGAAGGTTGTTCAGATTGTGGAGCAGACTGTGAGGAGATCTTCCTGGTATGCTCATCCCGAGGCAGTTCTGCAGACAATGCTCTGCAGTAAGGATGAGGAGGAGAGAAGAGTGGCAGTCAAAAAGATCTTGGATATGAGACTTATAAGAGGATCTGGACATGACGAATCAGTTGGTGACGATTCCTTCAGGGTCAGGAAGACTCCTGAAGTCCATCTAGGTGCCAAGACCCTCACTGATCTCATAGATCTGGATAACATCCAGGCTGGCAGTGAGCCCCCTCTTACCTGCAGCCTCACCAATGTTCAAGTCAGAGCTTTCCTGGACAACCCCATGCATGTCCCTGCCTGGCCCTCGCACACCCAGAGTATAGAGCGTTGTGTACAGCAAGTGAGTGAGGCCAGCAGTCACGTGTACAGCAAGGAGAGGAGGGAAGGCTACATCTGAGTTCAGGTGGTCAGCAGGGAGGTGATGAGTAGAAACAGAAGCAAGAAAGACATGTTCTCTATGGTGTGCAGCAACACCGGGTCGTAGTAGTAAAACCGGTTTTTGTATTTGATGATTTTGTTTTCTAAAGGAATATTAAATTTAATAAATGTGTCAAGATCATTCGTTTCACTATTCTAGATCATTTTCATCCTAATGAATTAACCTGATACATTTACTTTACTTTAAATAAGCTATTTAGTGGTGTTGGTAAAAGGGTGGGAATACTGAATTTTCATAAGATTTCAAGTTAAAATTTACCTAGCAAAAAATAAAAACTTTTCAAATCTGAAGATATCACATGATTCTGCACATAGAACTACATCATTAATACCATGGGCCGATTTTTCAAACTCAAAAAAAAAATTCGCCTCCGTATGATACACCCTACTGTCCATGTAATCCAGTTGCCTCTGAAGATGTCTTGAATAAAGACGAAAGCTAAGGTACTCCGTTGTTTCCATTTTCCCGTGTGATTTTATCAAGATTTATCTTATCCACGTTTCCATTGTGGATTTACATCCAAGTTAATCATAACACAATCACACCCTTGTCACTGCAGTTAACACTCGTTTCATTATTTTTGTAGTCAAGTGGACCATATTGTTTCCTCTGATTTAGAAAAAGTATTGCATGTTTAATTCTGAATATTGTATAGAACCTTGTCAATAGATTGTGCACATATTTTGGGGATCATTGCTCTTTAAATCGGGTCTTCTGGGGGAGAGAGAGAGAGGCATAAGATGTAAATCATAGTTGCAAGAGAATGAATTTCAAGCGTCTATTGGCAGAAATATGAACTGTCGTAATTTAATAATTGGGAAGGACTACTGTACGTATAGGAGGAAGTAAACTTCTTTAAATGCTACTGAACGGTTGATCTATTAAGATAATTATCACTAACATCCTTCTCCAGGAGAAGTGTGCCCACTATTGGCCCAGGCCCAGTGAGTCTTTCATCAACGTCGGCAGCTACATCGTCCACAACCACCGTGAGGAGAGGCGAGAACTGTACTCCATCAGGTACCTGGAGGTGGTGGCGGTAAGTGCCTGCGTCTCTATTGATCCGTTACTGCTATTATTATTTAGTCTTTATTTATTTCTATTGATTTAGACATTAAGTGCATAATATTATATCAGATATAAATTAATTAATAAATAAAATAAATACATAAATATACTCGACTGTAAAACCCAAATATATTAATCACGAAAGCGTACTATACATATCACAGGTGTTTCTGTTCAACTTATTTAATTTACTCAACTATCACTGAAACAAAACAATAACGTAAAGCAGCGGTACCATTGTCCTCAAACAAATGCCTTAGAATTTAACAGTGATTCGGGATAGGATTTGAGATCTCAGTCCCACGTGCCTTGACGACTCCTTACACAACAGGGAGATCAGAAGAGGGTGGTGAAACAGTACCACTTTACCTCCTGGCCAGATTTTGGAGCCTTGGAACGCGTCACCGACCTCCTCGACTTCATGGCTGACATCCGATCCACTATGCTGGCCAATGGTGACCACCTCCTAGTACATTGTAGGTAAGTGACCGCGCTAGACACCTTCAACATATCCCACAACACAACGCAATATTCCACAACACAACATCCCACAACACATTATCCCACTACACAATACCTCTCAACACAACACAATATCACACAACACAACACAATATCCCACAAAACAACATAATATCCTGCAACACAACACAATATCCCACAATGCAACACAATATCCCACAATACAATACAATATACCACAATGCAACACAATATCCCACAACACAACACAATATCCCACAACACAACACAATATCCCACAATAAAACACATTATAATATCCCACATATAATACCATAAGAACATAAGAACATAAGAAAGTGGGATACTGCAGGAGGCCGACTGGCCCATACAGGGCAGATCCCTTTCACACCCATCCCAGCACTTCCTTGTGCCTATCCAACTTCGTCTTGAAGCTCCCTAGCGTCCCCGATCCTACTATAGCACTCGGTAGCCTATTCCACATATCCACAACTCTATTACCAAACCAGTGCTTGCCTATATCCTTTCTGAATCGGAATTTATCTAATTTAAAGCCATTTGTTCTAGTTATTTCGTTATTACTGAGCTTCAGAACATCTTCCATTTTACCCTTGTTAATCCCACTTACCCACTTGAACACCTCTATCATATCTCCCCTAACTCTACGCCTCTCTAATGAATGCAAGCCTAAGCTTTTCAGTCTTTCTTCATATGGAAGGTTTCTAATATTATGGATCATTTTTGTCATTCTTCTTAATATTAGAAACCTTCCATAGATGGGTTTGATATAGGGGGGATTATGAGAGATTTATATGGAGGATTGCAAAAGCTTAGACAGTTGGTAGTGTAGTTGATCTGAGGATCATGTCTTCAAAAACAATGTTCAAGGCAGAAATGCAAGTCTATATGTTAATTTTTATTATACAGTATAGTTGGGTTAAATGCGATTTATTACAGTGATGAAACCTATGGCAATTAACATTACTCACCAAAGGGAAATTCAAAGTGACTATTTGTAAAATTGACACATGGAACATCATTATTACCATGTAAACATTTACCTAAGCATAGGCACTACCAAACAATTAACTCTCTCCCACATAGACTTCATCATACCAAATAACACAATGAAAACACCAGTAGGGCTGGGATTGGGAAACAAAATATGCCCACCACAGACTAGACAATTTCACACTTGCTAAAGTCCCAGCAAACAAAAATCATAGGCTTTACTGTTGATGAATGTGCCTGTACAGTGTACAGGCACATTCATCAATACTTAATAACCTCACTGTGTCTCAGATCTGTTTTACAGGGACGTTCATCAATGCCTAATAAACCTCACTGTGTCTCAGCGCTGGTGTAGGAAGGACTGGGACATTTATTGGACTGTGGAACCTGATGGACGAGTCTGACAGAGACAGAAGAGCTGAGTCCATCAACATCAGACAGACAGTGCTGAAGATGAGAGAACATCGACCCATTATGGTCCAGTCCGCGGTGAGTGTAATAATAATAATAATGATTTCAATAATAATAATAATTAACGGTTTGTTGAAAGAGCATGGCAGCCGGAAGGCTGACAATATACAGTTACGAAATTAGGGAATGGGTCTCTTGATTTACAAATAATATACAAGTAACTTAAGTGATGCAAATATGATATATAGTAACTAGGTGGGGAGAAGCTCAAACTACAGGGCATTTCAGCATAGTGACAGTGCAAAAAGTAAGACTGACTGGAGTGAATACACTGGTTGATTACACGTTTTTAATAATTTCTACAATGGTTGGGACTGGGCTCGAATGGGGTGAATGCGGTTGTGGTGTCGAACAGCAATTCTCGGGCGAGGGATCTCAGGTGGTAGTAGGGGCCGGTGTCGAGGATGGTGCAGAAGTTTCTCACCAAATTTGCAGATGAGGTCGTGGTGATGGTCAGTGAGAGCCGAGAGGGTTACTGAGTTGAGCGTTTCTTGATATGTGGGGTAGGAAGGAGAGAGAATAATCTTGCATGCCCTCTTTTGCACTTTTTCTAGGTGTTTACGTTGTTTTTTTTGTTTTGTTTTTATGGGAATTAGCCCACCCGGGCACAGGTCAAACGACCCACAACGGAGCCTGGGGGGCGAAAAAAGAAGAACGGAAAGAAATTGAAAATATAGAAAAAAGGTTATACTGTATTAATCTACACCACGAAGATGCCGGAAAACCAGCTTTTTAAAGTGAGACAGATTGTAAGAGCATGAAAACACAGAAGAAGGCAGAGCATTCCACAGTTTGGCTGTGTGAGGAAAGAAGGAGGTACTATAACGGGTTATTCTCGTGTGACCGACATCCACAGAGAAATGGTGGGCACTGCGGGCAAGACGTGTGTTACGAACCCACGGCCTTGCCAGCGGTACACAGGATGCCAAATCCACTGAACATTGCCCGTTAAAGTACCTGTAAAAGAGAGAGAGTAAAGCAACATTGCGGCGAAGAGAAAGGGAGGAGAGATTGTCGACTAAAGGAGGAGAGTTAATAAGACGAAATGCCTTTGATTCCACCCTATCTAATAGTTGGACAGAAGAAGAGCCACCCCAGATATGAGAGCAGTACTCCAAGGTAGGACGAATGAATCCCTTATATACTTGGAGCAACTGCTCAGGAGTGAAGTAGCTGCGGCATCTGTACAGCATTCCCAACTTTCGGGAGGCAGCTTTAGTTATACTAAGGATGTGTGATTTCCAGGACATATTGGAGGAAATGGTGAGGCCTAACATATTTATTTCAGAATTTGGGAGGATGATAGCGTCCTGAAATGTAATTGGTGGGAGATCGTCCACTTTACAAAGTGCAATTGGTAAATATTGAGTTTTGTTACTATTGAACTTAACCAAGTTTGTATCTCCCCATTCAGAGATGCTGCACAGATCCGCGTTGATAGAAGTAATGATATCAGTTCTAGAAACATTTAGGGAGGAAGACCAGGTAGGGGAGGCATAGGTAAGCTTGGGAAGTATGAATGTGGCATAAACACTGAGGAGCTCGGGTGCAGGAACTCCGAGGGACTTGAGTCGGCAGAGGAGGTGTAGACGGAAACTGGAGGATTTGACAACTTCACTGAAGTGTGGTTTCCAATTTAATTTGTTGTCTATGGTGACGCCGAGGAGCTTAGTGGAATCTACAACCTGGAGTGTGTTGGGACCTAAAGTAATGGAAGTGGGTGGGACAACGTCGGAGAAGAGGTTGATGTGCATAACCATGGTCTTGGTATGGTTGATGGTGACATGGTTGTTGATGGCTCAGTTTTGGAGACTGTTCAATAAATCCTGAAGGGCGGTATAGTCGGGAGCAGAATTGTTGATGCTGATCCCAATGGTGGAATAGTCGACATATTTTCAGCGAGCAGGGGTTTCTCTTAGGGCATCATTGATAAGCATAAGGAAGCATAGTGGTCCCATCTTGGTGCCTTGGGGGAAGCCACAGGTGAGTGACTGAAAGGTGAAGACAGCCCTCGGAAGCGTACAGCTTGGCGTCAGTTACTGAGGAAGTCCGTAAGCCACAGTATAAGGCTTCTTCGAAACCCGAGGTCGATAGCTTTATTGATGATTAAATTGTAGTCGACTACAGACGTTTCTCGTTTCTCCAGATGGCGGTATAAGTAGTCAAGAAAGCTGGCAAGACAGTCAGTGGTGGAAGATCTACGGCTCCCCTGCAATATCAGCATAAGCCCAGTCCAATACAAAACTTTCATAGATTAAGCTGGGTATTGGGTGATTGCAATAGGTGGTAGCTGATTTAAGGGTTGTGGGCTGGTTGACTTGGGCACTGGTGACACATAAAAAGTCTTCCAGTCAGTTGGGCATCTGGCTTGACTGAGAAAAGCATTGATGATGGAGCAGAGGAGTTTAGCAAGCTCTGAGGAGAACTCCTTGAAGAGTTTCATTGGTAAGTTAATGGGGGTGGTGGAGCGTTTTAACTTTAGTTTGTCCAGACCTTTTGCTACCTCAAATTCTTCTTCTAAGTCAGTGGAAAAGGGCTGATAGGTAAGAAGGGAGATTGGTTGTGTTCAAGCGGGGGGGGAGCGTCTGGCATATAGTAGGGAAATGGTTATTTGATTGCTCAGCTGCGTTAACATTAGTGAGATGGCTAAGAAAGGGGAGGGGGTAGTGTCTTATTGTTTAGTCCACAGAGTTCTTTAAGTTTACCATACCACAGACTGATGTTGGTCTGCTTCAGTTGATGCAGTTTGGTTGCGTATGTCGAGGATGACTTGGTTGCGAAGAGATCTATAGCGGTTGGGGTTATTGAGATAAAAGGCTCTTTCTCTCTGTTGCATAAGTCTTTTGATCCGAGGTGTGATCCAGGGCAAATGAGCTGGGTGAGATCTGATGGACTTCTCGGGGAAGAAGTGGTGGTGAGTTTCCGTGGTGGTGTTGGTATAATTTATCCATTTGGTGTCCACGTCATCCACACTAAGTACTTCAGTCCAGGAATGGTGAACTATCCACTGCCCGAAGAGACGCACTGCAGAGTCAGTAATCGGCCTGTAGGTCTTGTTGTAGGGTCTCTGTACTTCAGTGGGAGTAGCAGTTGGGGACCAGAGAGCACTGATAGGTGTGTGCTACATCCGATAGGAGGCATTGGTTTAGGTGGTTGGTACTGGTCCGCTAAGTCGGTTAAGATAAGGTCAAGGGTATTTTGACCGTGTGTGGGTAAGTTCACAACTTGTGACAGTGACAGCTGCTCCTGGATATCAGTGGTGTCAATTGCATTATTATCCCAGCATAATACTAACATGGCTCATGGGTACCTAACTCTTAGGTGGTCTGAGGTGGTAATGAGATGATTGATAAAAGTGTCTCTCGTGGGTGAGCGAGGCGGATGGTATGACACACAGATTATGATGGAAGCAGTGTGGTGCGGGTGGGCCCGCACAACATAATGCTTCCACATCTGCTGGGACTTGAACATCCAGGCGTGACGGGCGTAGGTCATCTTGACAGAAGAGGGGAACGCCCCCTCCGCGTCTATGTGAACGAAAGTGATGAAAGAGTTGATATCCTTCAATATGACACGTTTCAGGCACAATTTGGCAAGTCTCACATATGGCAACGACGCTAGAAGTGGCTGACCTAACTGGTTGCCAGCTCGTCAAACTTGTTAGCTAGGGAAGTGACGTTGGAGAGCAGAAAGGACGGGAGATCATAACATATCCGTGGAACTTCAGTGTAGTGGTACTGTCTGTCAGGGGTGGGTTTCTCCGGTTTCCTAGTGGAGGTTACGGTCCTAATGGGCTTATGTGTATGACGGCCCTGTCTACGGCTACGCGCGTGGAATATGTTCAGTGACTTGAGTCGCACGATAACACTGCCTCAGGATAACCGTTCCCACACTTTAGATTAGAAGATACAGAAAGCGTCTGGAGTAAGTGATTGGTGGCCATCTGTTGATATCTGTTGTTGTGGACGGACGGAAGTGTTTATCCCCGGTAGCCATAAACTCACTGGCGGCACTTTGAGGGCCACTGACACTGATAGACATCTGTTAATATTTGTCAGTCGTAAACACCGTGAGTCCTTGTCTCTGGCGCTTAGGGTCGCCGACACAGTATCCATGATATATGTAAACACCGTGGTGTTCCTTGTCACTGGCACATTGAAGGTGACCGACAAAGTGCCCACTGTCTGGTATTACACTGCTGTGTTTTTGTGCTTTTCCTTGGGATGCACTATCGGAACACTGTTTGGTAATCAATAATTGCACTGATCACTAAAATGTTTTGCTGGATAAATCCCGGTGTAGTAAAGCTGGTAGGGCGTTGGGATATAGCAGGAGCATGTGGGGAGGCAGGGCCAAACAGGCTCGGCCTGGCTGCCAAAACCCGGAGCGCCTTCAAGGCACGTCTTGTCTCACTGATGGTTGACAAGTATGTGTTTTGTCGTTGATAATAAGCGAGTCAGGTTATGTACCTGTAAGTACGTCTGCAACAAGGTTGACTTTAGTTCTTAATAAGCGACTGTCAACCTGACACACATTTCAGATTGTATGTTATGTCATAGTTTGTTAAACTAACCTCTCTCTTTCTCACTAATAAACACATATGATAACCTTCACCGTCTCTTTTCCGCAGGAACAGTTTTTGTACCTGACTAAGTGTATTGCAGCGTACATAGAAGCACCTCACCTGTGGAGCAAATACCAAGAAGGTACGATGTGTGTGTGTGTGTGTGTGAACTAGTTATTGCAGATTTTCTCTCTCTACTATAAATTTATAAACATGTTTATCATTGCTCTTCCATTTGTCCTCTTTTCCCTGAACTGGCCCTTTAACCGTTGATTCTTGATGAGTTAATGGGGCTGGAACATGTAAAAGTATATAGGGTTTGAGTAGCGGAACTCAACTGTCCTTTCTGTATTCATTAAGAAAATATATTATATACAGTTCCAAGTGTATATCACCGTAACTTAATCACTGTAGCTACAGTATGAGTGTTAAAATGAGGACGGAGGCTTTGTTAAATAACTCTTCTAAAATACGTCCTGTTGGTGTGAGGGGTTGAGTGAGAGTGCTTGCAGTAGCCCCCTAACATTCTTAGGGCCGCTCCTTCAAGTAACTTACTCATTACGTGATGTGAATAGGTCACCTCATAGCCAGTGGAAAGTTACAGGGGGTGATATGATTATATAAACTCAATGTACTGCCCTGACATTTATATAAAAACAAAGAGGTTAATACACCCCTCTAACCCCCTCTCGATCCCACCCGTTTCTCCACCCCCTTTCCTGACACCCACTCCACCTCACTCATTTTTCCTTTCCTTTCCCCTCCTACCTCCTACCTCGGAAATGAATTTGAATTTCGAAATATGAGACCCAAACTCACAATCGAATTTGATTGGGCAAAAAATACCACGAATTAAACCAAAAATAATTTTCATTGGTTGCCAAAAAAACCCGCTTTTGATTGGCCACGTTACGTGAACGGGAACGCATGCGCGTGATGATTTATGAAGGAGACACGCAGTGTGGGAGGTGAGGTAGGCGATAATGGAAGAAGATTAATGGAAGAAAATAGAGAAAATTTTGGATATGCTATTCCGTTATTGTACATTTGCGACGGTAATGTAATAGAAGAAAATTATCTTCTAATTGGACGTCTTATTCAGATATGATAATAGATTAGGGATAGGAATGTTGTGTGCGGAAATGTAATAATGCCTTTTCTTCTATGCAACATAATTTTCCACCAATCCGGCCAAGGGTATCCGGTCACACTGGAGGAGATACCATTATTCAGGACGACGTGTAGGGCAGGATACATGGACCTGGGTTCGCCCTCTGTACACAAGTATCGTCTGGATCCTTGACCCCCTGTCCCACGCCCCCACAGCGGAAATCCCCCGGGTCTGCTGGACAGGGTTTGATGCGTGATGCTGAATTCCACACGTCTTAACTTTCTAAAGGAGAAAAATATAACACCTTCTTAATCCTAGACCAAGGAAAGACTTGAAAGAAGTGAAGTGGTATGTGGTGGGTGTGGTGCTGCATTCATCACACTGCTTTTCCTCTGCTTGTATGTGCTGTGGTTGGAGTCAATACTTGGTCCATCGTCACCTCTTGATTGCTGTTGTGTCGTAAGGCGCCGTCATCCTGGCCGAACACAGCATTCAGCTTGGACATGCGACGTTAGGTCATGTCTAAGTGAGCTGGTAATCTCCAATATCCGGCTGGCCATGGGGCGGTACTGTGTGTGAAAATCCTAAAGGGATGATGGATTAGTTGGGAGTGCATCCGTAAAAAAAAATATTTACTTTATTTGTTACTTTAATGTTTGGCAAGTATGGTTTCCGTCACGACAATGTTCTCAAGGCTGGTTCGGGGAGTGAAGCTCTGCTCACTACACTGAATATTATTTAACACTAAGCTTCAAAGAGTACATGACAAATCTTACTAACCTAAAAATACACTGAGTGAAGCTCTGCATTTATCACAATATCAATTTACACTAATCATCAATTTCAAAGCATAACAGACTAATGACACTACAATAGGACATGTAATTAAATCTGATGAGGACTCTGCAAAACTACAGGAAGATGTAAAAAAAAATTTCGAATGGTCTGAAAAATAGCAGATGTAATTCAATGTGGACAAATGTAAAGTTCTCAGTATAGGAGATGTAAACAGGGAAACCAGATACCAGATGAACAACGATGTTATTGAGAAGTCCGACTGCGAGAAAGATTTAAGAGTAATGATTAGTAGGAATCTTAAGCCAAGTAAACAATGTGTATTTGCTCGAAACGAGGCTGATAAACTACTTGGGTTCATATAAAGGAGTGTTAGTTACAAGACAAGCGAGGTCATCTTAAAACTATATCCTACTCTTGTGAGACCTCACTTGGATTACGCAGTTCAATTCTGGTCACCGTATTACAGAATGGAAATAGAATCCTTGGAAAGAATTCAGAGGAGAATGACAAGACTAATCCTGGGCATTAGGAACCTTGAGTACAGAGATAGGCTAAAGCATCTTAAATTGCACTCCCTCGCGAGACGTAGAGTGAGGGGCGACGTGATCGAGGTGTATAAATGGAAGTCAGGGCTAAACATAGGTGATATTACAAAGGTACTCAAACTATCCAAAGAGAGCGATCTCGTAACATTGGTTTTAAATTAGACAAATTTAGATTTAGGCGCGAAATAGAGTAGTGGACGAGTGGAACAAGTTACCAAATATCATCATTAACTCGAATACGCTGGATGCCTTCAAAGATAGGTTGGATGGATATATGAGCAATAGGGGTAGGGTGTAAATGGGACTGCCCAGAATGGGCCAAGAGGCCCGCTGCAGTTTCCTCCATTCTTATGTGTTCTTATGTGACTAGGGATTAATGAGGTCACACTGGGTGGGGCAGGGCGGTGCGTAGGTGGGAGGGACGGGACGGGACGGCGGCTATAAAAATAGACCGTTTAATCACGTCCTTTCCATGTGAGATTATGAGTGAGACTGCATGTGGGTGTTGGCTTATCCAAGCTGACCCATGTGCTCACATACAGTCAATGGGCCGCACCCTGAGAAGGCTACCAATCACGTGAAAAGAAAATGACAACTCATAGCCAGTGGAAAGTTACAGGAGATGAATCAGTATATAAATCAAATGTAATAAACCCATTTATATAATACTTGTGTTGATCAGACAGGGGCCATTACATCACTCGGTCACCTCCCACCCGAGCTCAGGAGAACTAAAAAAAAACCGCAGACTACATCCTACACAACCCTCTAATCATGTTATAAACATATATGTAAACACTAAGCTGGGGCCTCTGCAACCATGGGGTTTTCATCAACTCCAGGGGTCCTATACTTATGTGTCTTACTGGTTAAAATGCTTTGGACAATTGTCAATTTGGATGATACTGACTTATAATAACAAAAGAGAAACATAACTGCCAAATTTAACACAATTGTGGGAATTGTTAGACCTGGTATTGCAAATTCCCGTGACAAGTAAAATAGCAAATTATTATTCAAATCAGCAAATTGGGTCTCTTTCAAGTAGGAAATAACCTTTAATTTCTCTGAAACGACCTGAAGTTCTTTTGGAGTAAAGCTCATAACAGGAAACATAGGAATTAAATCAGACTTGAGATTTAAATTCAAGGCAAAATGCTGATGAGTAGGCAAGGTCCATAATGAACTACAAGTGACTTCACAGTAATCCGGAGCCTTTTAATGACCTTTCACAACTAACTGCTTACCACCATCGTGGCATTTTAAAATAACAGTAGTGACATTAGGAAAGAATAAGTACTGCACATAATGGAGATGAGCGTGAAACAGAGTTTTAACACAAACTGGCCAATAGCTGCATTGCGTAAGCCCTGTGTGTACAATAGTTTGCATGACTGCCAATTCACATATCCCTTCTGCAGCAGGAATAAATGTGAACATATAGGCTGGACATACGTGTAAGTGTAGATATGACGACTTACACCGCGATAGTACCCGAGGATCATCCAACGCCAATAAAGAATATTCCTCATCTACAAGTAAAAGTTTTTAGGCCTATCCAGAGCATACAGTGTGTCGTTAACAAACCAGGGTAAGGGTTCTAAATGCCATGCAGTAAACTGATGTTGCCCTCGCATAGGTATGTGGATAAGAATAGCATTGTGCATGAGAGTCGACTCCAATACAGGGTAATAATATTCCACCTCATGATCATTAAAAATAGGAGTTAAGTGATACATCAACTTGGCAATCTGTAATGCATCAAGAAGCGTCTGCACAGGCACAAGCTTTGCATCCACACGCCCTATCCCTGCATCTACTATGCTGTCAATTAGTTCATTTTTATTAGTAATAATATAATGAGCTGAATCTTCCGCAGCATGCAAATATTCAGAAAAATAAAGGAGCTACTCTAACGTAGGGACTGAATTCTGTAACTTATAAACAACCCTCGATATATGGTTAGACTCCGATATTATCGCATCAACTTTTCACTCTAAAGCAGTAATCGCATAGAATGTCTGCGCTATAACACGATTCTGCTAAGATACTGCTTGATCGACAATGTTAATGCAGTCCCCCAATTTACCTACATCATCGGCAGTTGCCGTACCAAACAGAGTGCTTTGGATAAGACCCACAAAATTAAACAAACCTCTCTTTCGTCGTGCTTGAGAACGCACTTCCTTTGCAAGATCAGCCTCAGACACTGGTATTCTTTTTCCGACAGCGACGAGAAGCTTGTGAAGTGTCCTGAGACGAAGGTGTTGAAGGTCAATAGTTTGTGCCACCATTGTCAATACATTAGGAGCTGAACATAGATCATCTAAGACTGCCAATGCTGACTGTAGTTGCGAGTCGACGGTTTCCATCTGACGGGGAAGCTTGAGCAGTCCATGCAACTCATACTTGATGTTCACCACGTCCTCTACTATGAGAACGCGTTCAAGGGATGCAACACTGCACCAGGCTTGAGGAGGGATGTGGACATATCTGTCAACACAACGGTACCACAACACAGTAGGAGCAACACAATGATGTTCCAAGCCATTGTGTAAGATGATTACATTTGTTTTAATATCTGCTTGCAGAACGAAGCTTCATACAATAATCATTAGGCACACTCTGCTCTTGTACTATCGTACACAAAAGTCATGTCCACTACCCAGCCACAGTGAGGTTTCGAAT